TGAAGTAGTCTAGGTACAGTCCAAAGAAATGGAATCAAAAAAAAACCCACCTCTTAAAGAATTGAGTGCTGCTACAATTTTACAATTTTATGATAATAGTTTTCACTCATGATTCCTGCTCCCTTGGTTCACTGAAATGACCTTAAAATGAGAACTGAGGCAGAAAGTCAGCATCACATGACACAACTAATTCTTCCTCTCAAGTCATTGCTGATAACTGCACTGCCCCAAACAGCAAGGAGTGAAAACATTATTCCATAGAAATTGATTATTAATTGTCATATCACTTTAAAATACCATTTGTTAACTAATGGTAACTGAAACATTGACTTTTTTCGTAGCTTCTTAAAATTCAATCAAGAACAACTACCTTTCTCCTAATATTTGAATGCCTATAATCAACTCCAAGAGCTTTTGCCAAAATTTTTGTTTTGCCATCTGACAGATACACTTGGACATTCAGAGGCATAATCATTTTACCACATCAAAAAGTCCACAGTAAAAAGTTTCTGTATAATCGTAGTTATGCTGGAAGACATGAAACAAAACAGTGTCAATATTCATGTTACTTTACAGTTCATCTCCAGAGCCTTTTCCAACAAACACATTGCTTTCTTGCAGGATTATGATATCATGTATTAGGCAGTAGCTGATAACATATGAAGCAATAGTGAACTTCTGCTTAATACAAATGCCAAAATGAATAAAGAAAATATGATGGGCAACTTGGTGGAAAAAGCTGTAAGGCAATTTCTTAATTTAAAAAAATTATTGTGTACCAGAGAATTTTAATGAGCCAAAAGTCCTCTGAGACCACTTTTACACATTCTGCACTATTTTGATGCCCCTTACAAAGAAAGCTGAACTGTTCTCACTCAGATCTGGTTGAAGACACATTTTCTTTTTAATGTCATAGCAAAATCTGAAAGTGTCTCATTCATCTGATTACGTTTAGCCGCTCAGAGTTATCAAAGCAGAAGCGAGATGACAAAATTATCACAAGACACAAAGTAAAAAATTTCAATACCTTTAACTTCTTCGTAAATGCTATCATCTATTGATTCACTGCTCACATGGCAAACATCGTCATAATCCTCTTCCTCCTCCTCAGGAATAGTATTAGATTCTGTATCTATGCAACAGAAGTTTTAAAAGTTAACATTTACTACAAAAGAATGCCTTAGCAGAAAATCATGCAAAAGAAAAACACAATTCTTCTATGACCTGGTGATTGCAGTATATGCTGCTTATTTTCTTACAGTGTTCAATAAGGGAGAGCTTTCAAGCTAAATAGTTTTCTTGGAGAAAAGCAAAAACCTTGCAAAAGGAGAAAAGTCATACAAAAGCTACAATATGATTGAAAAATAGGACTTGCTATTCAAAGCTTGGACAAGGGGGAATATAACATATACAAACATGACAGATAGCATTAATGGACAGAACTACCATCACTAAGCAGTACTGGCAAAGCCTACTGCTCTACTGGCTGGCTTACCTTGAATGACAAATTTGACTTGCTGTACCCATTCCTCTGCTTCTTTGGGAGTGGCAGCTGTAAACTATTAAATGTTTATTAATAACTACTAGCAGTAATGACAAAAACACAACTACAACTTCATTAGCAATAAAAAAGAGGGACTGTAGCATTCTCGTCACTTCCTCAAGAAACTATTAGTAATTCTTTTCATGTCTTCTGGTACTTTTCTTGCAAGGATGCTTCTTATAATGTACAGCTAATTTTGACAAATTTACGTAATTGAAGGAGAGGATGATGGATTTGAAACTGTGATCAGCAGCTGGCAGCTGTGCAGAAAAAAGCTGCTTCTCTTCATCATTGTCAAAGCCAGAACTGATGAACAAAATTTGCCCTTGACAATTAGAAGACACCCATGAATTTCTTTAGACTGCTGGGTACAGTTTTCTTAAAAATGCTCTTGTCAGACTCCAACACACTACCTGACAGCTTAATTAACTGGCTTTCAACTGCAATCTTAGATATTTAAAACTTATTAAACTTACATTCCATATTGATGTCTAGCTGATAGATCTCTGAATTGCACAGCTGATATGTGCCTTTACGTAGATTTTCCTTGCAAAGCCATGACCAATGCAATATGTATTTAACACTGATATATATTTTAACGGGTTTTTTTACTATTTAATTCATCCAAGAAATCACACAGACATACAATACAATAGATATTAAAATGCTAACGTTGAAATGACCAATAGATAAAGATGATAGATTTCCTTGCTCTTGTCCAAAAGATAATATTTGAAGACATACATATTTTAAATCAGATTTTTGTCCTAATATGTGAATGTACAATATAAGCAAGCGAGGGTTTCCTTTTTTCATTAAGATGTCAGTGAAAATTGTTTTACCAAAGTGTTAATTTAGTAACTGGAATTGTAACAGCTTTATCAATTTTATTTCAAATCAACATAAAAGAAGTCCAACCTGATAAATGCGCTTATCAGGAGCAGAGATTTCGAAACAGCAATCTTTCTTTGCATCCTTCCGAAGGCTATTATTCATTCTGATGGTGTAGCCCTCTAAGGCAAATTCACCTTTCTGTTGTTTGTCTGTTGGAGATAAAAAACAAAGTTAGAGCTTCATTTACAACAGCGAACGTAAGTGGCTCAGCAGGTTATCTTTTATTCAGATTTTGTTTTCTATTTCATGAATTTTACAAAGAACAGGGAGATTTTTCACAAAATAATTAAGTGATGCTGCTGGAGATAAAGCTTTGGTTTAAAGGAAGATGTGCAAAAAGTACATTTTTTTGCAGGATGCCTAAGGAATTCCAGGGGGGGATGTCTGCAGATGGTGGTCTTATTTAGCAAGAAGTGCATGTTATGACACTTGTATCTAGGGAAAGCCAAGAACTGGAACTTGCAAGACATGTTTCCTATAAATCAGTGTCTTTTTCAGGTTCAGTAAACCAATGGGAAAACCTGTCTAGCTCAGAACTTGCTGAGCACCCTCCTAAACTAACCACTTCACTCAAAAAATAAACTTCAAACTCCTTTATAAGCAATTGGAAAAGCTTCTTTTCACATTCTCCCACCCATTCCCAGATGTGCCTCTTTTCCACATGGCAGAAATACAGAATGAATTGTGTTATAAATTCAGGTGTGTGTTCCAAAAGCATTTCTCTCTAGACAGCAAATGTTTAATTAGCTAATAAAAGTACTGAGCCCTACCACAGTTTATTATGTAGAGCCATGTGTTTGTGCCATGTGGTTGTTTTAAAGACAATTGTACTTTTCAAAGGCTCTGGTTTATAAAAGTATCACTTAGAACAGGCCCGAGTTTTAATACACTACATGGTGGGCAGGCGGCACCTGCGCACACCTTCTGAGTTCTTCAGGCCGAACCCTTCATCTGACTTTACATGCTCTGGCATGTTTTGGTGAATATTAAAAACAAACCAAAACTAAAAGTGACTGTTTTGCAATTTCTGTAGATCACAGTGCAGCGTCAAGTGAAGGTAGGCATCATCAGTCACATTTTGCTCAGGCAAACAAAGAATGAAGTGCAGTTGCAACTGAAAGAAAATGCCGTTAAGTGGGGGGGGTTTTCCACAGTACAGAAAAGCATTCATAAATAAGCACCAGGCACAACAGCAAAACTACTTTAAGTATTGCTGAACAGAACTTAAGTGCAAATCAAGCATCCGTTGCTCATGCTTGTCAACAAGAGAAGGAAACTTCTACAGTAGATAAAACAGACAAAACTACAGTTTTCAATGTAATTTTGTCATCTTTCTGGAAATTTAATAGGAAAGCAAATCTGTTTTCCAATCATGACATGGCAAAAATTGGCTAACATAGCAACATGAACATCAATGGACATAAGGGCAGTCACCATATAAATACTCTTGCTAGTAATCTTACAAGCACATAGACACAAATTATTTGTCCTTCCAACTTTTTATGAACTCTCACTCAGGGCAAATAAATACCAAATAACATAACTATATGAAAAAAATCCAGGGTACTGTTCTATTTTCCCTTCTAGTCCCTTCCCCCACAGCAACTTTTATTATATCTTAATTAAGTACTAATGACACAGTACTAATGTTTTGTATTTACACAATCCTCCACTCCTATATCAAACAGGACACATATGCAAAATTCATGGAATTGCACCAAGGCAGAAATAAGAAACAATAACTTGCAATAGGTTAACTAGGTCCCTTTTTAATGAAATTCATTTCTGCCTTGAAATTTTATTGTTCCCTCACTTGTGACCTTAGGGAGAAGATGAAGTGAAAGACATTAATTTCTCACTCTCCCATGCTGGAGGTTTATGAAAAAACAAGAAGAGAGGAGCATGCAGACAGAATAAGCAAACACCAGGTTCAAAAGGTAAAAACATTTTGTCAAGATAAAAATGAGGCAAGTATTCAAATTTAGTCTCTTGGATTATTTCTGAGACTGCTTCTCTGCGACATGGATGGTCCATTTTATGGTAATACAGTTTTACAGAGCTAATCTCAGATGATCTTTGCACCAGTACTCATTCTTTTGAAAAGCATTACAGTTAAAACACAAAGATGCTGTACTTTGCACAGGAAGGGAATAGTAGCGCACGGTATCCATATTGCATCTGACTGTTTTTATTGTTCATATTGTCCGTGTCTGATCTCTCTGAACACACCATTCCAGTGCTAATGAAAATTACCTGTATGCACCACAAAAAAATATATATATATATTCCTTGCTATTAAATTCTTTCACTGACCTTTATAGCAACAGACTCATGAAAGCATTGCTACTTTCACTTCTAATTGTCTGCCCAGTAAAGTAGCTCTGATTCAAGTCCAGTGTAGCATTACACACATGCTTAAAATATTAACCATGGGGAAATTTTAAGACAATGAGACACTTCACAGCGCTGACCCAGAACCCATTAAAGTTGAAAGACTCTCAGTATGCATCCAGGCTCCCTGTGGCAGCAAGCCAGAGATAAGACCTAGTACATCCTGGGAAATGGCTCCACAAATACAGAATGGCAGGACACAGGTCAGCTATAGCTCAGCTGCATGCTCTGATGGTGACAAGCTATAGAGGTCTACAAATCCAAGTTGCTCTTGCAGAATATACCTTTCCAGGTAGGACTGGAGACCAACCCGATCACCCAACTACCACGGAGCAAACCATGACCCATAGTGGCTGTTTGGCCAGGCGCTGTAGTCAGGTGCAGGTTTGAATGCAGGGCCATGTTGTTAAGTGTCCGACCCAACAATCATCTCAACTTCATTTACTGGCAAGGCCTTGCAGCTAAATAGGGGTGCAAACAGACAGGCTTTCAGTTTACAGCTGCCCTATGAAGTTAGTGCCACAGTGACTTCTGCGAACTTTCACATTCAGAGTTCTATTGTTAAACAGTTATTGATGTTTAAAAACTTTGAAGACTAAAAGATTTTTCTTGAAGACTTAAAATTAGAAATCTTTGGGGTTTATGACAGGAGCCTTAAAAGTAGCTTCAGAAAGCACATTTACATTACAGAGATTACACTTTCATTTTGAACTACTAACAGTTGGAACTGGAGTTTTGCCTAGGCAGGAACACAACAGGATATTTAGGAGGAACAAGGGAGAGATGTGGATGGAACGCACTTATCTAAAGAATGGTAATATTCTTGCTGCTTCTTATTTTCTCAAAGTAGGGCTTTGCAATTCAACAACGGGACACTCCTAGGTTGTCCCAGAACAACACAGAACAGAGCTGCAAAACATATAATACTATCAGTCTCATAAAAACAAAAAGGATCACAAATATCAAGCATAAGTCATTCCACAGTTAAGTTAAATCTCATTTCAGAATAAGCTGGTCTTCGCTCTCATTTCCTCCTCTTCCTCTTCCCTTCTCCCCATATCAGGCACACAACAGAAAAATAAATCTGGGTCTGTGTAGATCATTTTGCATCCAGAATTTAGAATTGTAAAAAGCTAGTATAACAAATTGGAGAGTCAGGAACTAGTATAAAAAAAAAAGTAAAAGGTCAAATCTAGTACATAGATATTTGAGAGAAATACATGTGGAAAGCTATATTTGAAATAGAGAAAATACAGATCTGCATTAAATTTGAGAGCCACTTTAAACATTTTTCTTATATATAAGCTTCATTCATCCTAAAAATAGTTAAATGCTGTTAACAACGGAAACAGGCCCAATATTATATCAGGGAGAAAAAAAAAAGTCTCAAGGGAAGCAGAGAAAAAGGGTTTGAAGTAACCTTGCATAACTGAGTCCATGGGAACTTTTAAAACAAAGAAGGGTAAACCTTCAATGGGGTCTTGAAATGACTGGGTTGTAAATTTGAGGCCTAAGGCGATGCGTCCATATTATTAGCACATGTAAAAAGAATTAGTGCATTCTGAAGAACAGAGAGGACTCGGATAGTAGAAAGGATAGAAGTTACAGAGAAAGGCATAAGGAACAAAGGCAGACAGAAAGATTTCAGAGAGTGATAAAGTATTTATAGATACTAGTAGAATTTTAATTTAACTCTCTTCATCTTGAAATTAGGAACCTGTAAAATTTTGCGGTTTACATGGCTTCATGCTAAATCTAGTTTCACATACTTTTCCATATGCAGGATGTCTGCTTCTGAAAAATAGTAAGTGTCAGTATCTCCAAAAGAGTAATTTCTTCTCCTGCTTTTGGAAGAATCCTTTCCAAAAGAATGCATAGGAGTTCTTCCCTTTTAGATAGCAGACCTGAAATGCAATCGACTGGGGTTTTTTTCTCTTTCCTTTAATCTAGTCCTCTGAGAAATCTAAACTAAAAAACCTAAGAAACAGAGGGAATTATTGAAAGTATTCATGGCACCAGTTTGTTTATATGCAGTCTGTTTATACTCAATAGCTATTTCTTTAAATAATGCACTATTAATGGCAAGCATGCTTCTCAAGGTCTGAATTTAATATTCTCAGAGCAGAAGAGTCAGTATTCATTAGATAGATGCCTTTGACTGCTATCGCCCTGCTACAAAGTCCTAGTGAACAACCACAGTTCCTGCAGATTTCTGTTACTGATTGTCAAGTCTAAACTAAACAAGGATTTTTGCCTTTTTTATGTGGTTGTTCGGAGAGGGAGGACTAAAAGAAGGAGGTCTGTGGCTAAAAGCAAAATGATGCTTCAACAGCCTTCCATTGGGTTTGAGTGTATTTCCTCAGTCCTAGAAGGTGAAATTTGTGAGTTCAGCACGTGGCAGAAATTCTAGTAGCCTGGTTAGGCAAGTCAGTAGGACTTCCCTCTCCCTTAATATCATTCAGTCACCAAGTTCTTCCAAAAAAACAAAACACAAAATAAAACAAAATCTCTTCTTTTTTTGTGCAAAATTTAAGAATTCCATTGGCCTGGCCATCACTGTCTTACTATTCAGAGAAATCCATAATTTTGATGTCCATGTTAAAAATACTAGATAAGTATATAAATAAAACCTCGGTCACTTTCAAAAGCCTCTGAATTGTCCCTGTCTTCAATATCATATTACTGGCAGGCAGGCAGATTCAAGTTATAAAAATTAAAATAAATTTTTAGCACCCATTAACAGTGGAGAAAATTGCCATGATGTTACCAATTACTGTCTTGCTAAACATTTAGCTGATCTCTCCAGTTTGCTGAGGCAGAAGGGCATATAATATTGTGGCCTAGTGAGGAAGAAGTAGTGAACTCATTAATTCATTTATAAAGCAACAAATTAACTTTCCATCTTCACATGCACCTTGAGGTCTGAAAGGTTAGCCATACTACCCAGGTGCCTGAGTACACAGGAACTGCCAGAGATCATATAGAGAAATGATACGCAAAAACAGGGTACCTAACTCAGGATGCAACTGCATGGAAGCAAAGAAAAGAGAAGGGCTATAAAAGTTTTATGGAAGGAAAGACTATGAAAAGAAGGACCAGGCAAGCTTCTGGAAACCCAAGCCAGCTCTGACATTTGAACGTGCTTCGCTGCAGTGTTGTGGGCCACATGCCGACAACAGATATTATAGCCCAAGCACAAATACATGAGCCTCCTGCAATGCTTATTTCTCACATTAATTAGGTGAAACCTTTAAGCATTGTTCCTCCATCTTCTCCACATATCACAGATCGGGGCAAAAAAAGTAGGTGATTCACTTAGACCTGCCTATACTGCAAGGATAAATAACACTGCTTCACTATCCAATGCAGTGTACCAAATGTACAAGAAAATACAGGAGGAAGTAGGGAAACAAGACATTCCTTACCCTGCAGGCATCACAACTGTTTAAAGCATGCTTGTAATCAGGTGAACATACACATGTACACAAACACAGAGTCATTTACTGTATTTTCACAAGCTTCAGTTTGTACTATATTCTCCTGGACTAGGCCTTGTATTTTTCATCATTCAGCTCTGAATAAATGAAAGTTTTACTCACATGCATCTGTGAGCTTTATACAATTCCAAGAAAAACTTACTGTTTTTCCAACGTAAAAAGGATAATGTTAGAAGAATTAAAATATTTTGGAAACAACAAATCCACACAACCTAATAAAAAGGCAACCAATAGCCTCACGTTTAGCATTCAGTTACATTTACACTTATATTTAAGCATAAAAATTAAACCTTGCCCAACAAAATACACACTGTACTAGATACAAGATATCCTTCACAGATTACTCACTTATGTGTACAGTTTTAAAAACATACACAAGGCAAAACAAGCCAAACAGGACCTAGAAATCCCTGCTGCCTCTCTGCATTACATCCCACAACACGCACACAGGCACTAGTACTCCATCACCCATTAAAAGTGATTAAGGCAGCGGGACTGAGCACGTATGCAATCCCCATTTCTTTTCAAACCAGATTCACAAGCAACAAGGGGGAATTTTCCTGTTTGTGAATCAGCCCTGGAACCTGTCAGAAACCAGGGCCCAAATGATACAAAACATTTGCAGACGTAGCACAGGCAAGGGCAGACCAGCATCATTTAGACAGACACCATCCCAACGATTCAGGAGGTGGTAACAATTTGCATGAAGCCACCCAAATGCACACTTCACCCATGTTCTGCAGCTGGTAAGGACACACATTGATTTTCTATGTGGTCCAGGTTATCTGGTAGAGCATGAAGGTCCACAGCGAAAGAAGGGCAACAACACACTATGATAGGAACCACTGCTGACTGTAACAGTGGAAGTGAAAACAGTTTCAGGTTCTTCCAGCAGCTAAACACCAGACCTCCTCAGGGTTGTCTCATCACACACCTCATCCATGCTGACAACCTGCAGCTAAACAGCATGATAAACAGCAGCACATGCATTCACAGCCATAAGGACAACAGCTCAGTTTCAACAGCAAACTAGCTTGCCATGGAACTACAACAGTCACTGGTATCCAATCTCTGCACAATGCTGGTGATTTGTTTCTGCACTGGAACTGACACCTTTATGTACTACAGCATCAGAGGGATGGAAAAAAGTACCAATCCAGATAAAAAGCTTTCTGCTTCGAAGGCAAGTTCTGAGTGACTGCTGGCCATCCCAGATCTGCAAGACGAAACAATTCCACCATGCTATGCTAGTTTTTCTGCACTAACAGCACCAGTCACATGGGATAGGGAAGAAATTCATGCACCTGATTTGTTCACTTCCTCCATGAGCTACTGTTTGGAGCCCAGCCATGCCTATACAATTTCCATGGACTATGTCCCTCTCCCACATCATTAGGTGTCAGTCAGAAGGATCTTCCCTAAACAAACTGCAGCCTACAAAAGCTATAAACATATAAGCAAAAGCATCTGTCATAGATTCATAAAGGAAAGAGATCCCGCTGTGTCCTATGGTCAATTCCTAACATGACACCAACCTGTCAAGGGCTAAGGAACATGCTTCCGTGTATTTTAGGCAACATGCTTCCATGTATTTTAATTTTCAGCCGAGTTATTAGAAGTCACAATGCAGCCTTGATAGTCAGGTTGTTGCAAAAGAAGAAAAAGGAAAAAAAAAAGGGATGGAATAGGGCAGGCAAGGCAGTTGCCTGCCTTAATGATAAGACCATACGCTAGAAAGCATGAATCACCAGCATGGACACAAAGCAAAAAAATTAAAAATTACCAAGCCTTTCCTTCTTTGTTCTGTGGGTTTTTTTGGTTGGTTGGTTTGATCCCTCCATGCCCCACCCCAAAAAAAAAAAAAAAAAAAGAAAGAAAGAAAAAAAAAAAAACAACAATCTTTAAGAACTATCAATATATTCCAACAAAAAAAATTTGCCATTTTTTAATTACTAAGTAATGTATAACTGCATATAAACAAACACCAGGAGATAGTTTTCCAGAGAAAGAAATAAATCACTACTGACAAATCAGTGTTATGCCATACCTCCTCAAAATTTTTTTGTTTTTGAAGCTTTCTCAAGCTGTAAATCCCAAAGAAAGAGTGAAGAAAAGGAAATATTTAGCAGATACACTAAGAAAACACTAGAATTGAAGAATTCAATTCAGTGAGAAACTGTTGCGAGATGAAAACTGGACTTTCAGTTAGAACCTTACTTTATTCCTTTTGGTTTTAGAGAAGGATGAGTTTAAATGAGTCAGCATATTGAAGAATGAAACAAACTGGACCAAATTAGTCTTTGAATAAAACAACACAAAATAACTACCTGCACTAATCTCAAGTAGAGTGATGCTGAAGAAAAAAGTTTCAATGGAAAGTTTGCCCAGGAGTAAGTACACAAGTTGTTTGTTGGGGTTTTATGGGGGGAGCAGAGGACAAGATATATTTGCACATATAAAATGTACTCAGATATATTTCTGTATCATTTGTTTTACCCTTAGATATCAAATACACCTGGCACACAATTTAAAAGCTGTTTTATTGACTGTCAATTTTAAAAATTCAAAGTGATATCACAACACTTATGTCAGATTCTTTCTATATTGGCCATTAAAAGTTAAAAGTCACTTTCATAAGCTAGCTTTAGTGTCCAGGACTGGCTTTTAGTTAAATATATTACTTAATTCCTAGGTTTTTCAAAACATAAGCCATTTAGAAAGAAACATGGAACTCTCTCTGTTCCCTGCAGAACTATGCATTTTTTACACTAACATTTTCCTGGATAGAACCATCTTTAAAGAACTCAGAAGGTATAATTGCTAGAGGGTGTTTTAAAATTAAAATTCTATTTGGACAGAAAGAATATTTTCTGCCCAGTAAATCAACTGAGTACCAGCATACTATCGAAACTGACAGCTAGCTGTTATTGATGCACAGAGTAGCTTTACAAGTAACCTAATCTTTTTTCCTCAGTTTCCCCTCTCTCGCAGGTGAGTATATCACTTAAAGATTCTGAAGAATATTTACACATTTTTAAACTTCACAGCACTGTTTAAAGAACCAACTACTCTTTTAAAAGTTTCATTTGCTTTCTTAAAATGACCTTAGACTTGTGGTTTTCAACTCCACTAAAACTTTCTTCTCTGCATTAAAATACCATTTTTATAGTTTATCATAATTATTACAAGTACCTTTGTCGCTTCCATAGTAATAGAAGACTGTCTTACTGATAGCACACCAACGCTTCTGCCATTCAAAGCCAAGAAAACTGTGGTCTGCAATTGATATAACGAGTGTTACATCACTCTACATCATTATTGAACATAAATACGTTACTTCTTTTCAAGGCTGAGGTAAGAGGGAGGAGGAAATGGGAAAGGCACTAAGGAAAGGAAACAAAATCTGGGTATGAAGAGAAATGTATGGCACTGAGAATAAAATTCAAAATAAAAATTGGTGGTGAGAAAACAAATGGGAATTTGAAATCATATAAAGAGAAAAGCCATGTGTAACATTAAATATAAGGAAATAATGAACAACTTCCTAAATATTTCCTAGAGGTATTGCAGCATTAAGTGGGTATTAAAGTGACAATATAAGATTTATTGAATCAAGGTAAATATTGACTGAACCAAAGCTGAGATCAATATTTGCCCTCTTGAAGGAAAATAAATCTTGATGCTCACTGAAACATGAAGTCAACGTACAGTACTTTTACATATATTCCTAATATTTTCTTCAAAAATATCTGTAAGTCTCTGAATTATGGCTGACAGTGGACTTGAACAGCATGATTTTGTTAGTCAATAAAGAAATAAGATTTTCTTTTAATACTACAGGAGCAATTTGTGCTGTGCTTCTTTTGCATAATAATGCTTCTACATTTCAGCCTTTATTTGATTTTATTTAACACTCCTGTATAAAGTTATTTGCGTATATAACATCAAATACCGACACACAGACTTCACAGATAGGAAATATATACTACTTTTGACAAAGATAGGTGGACTTACCTTTTCTGCGTTTTTCCAGGTATCCAGCCTTCAGAACAAACTGAAGATCCTGAGCTGCAATAAGAGGAAACTGATGCCCTGAAAGAAAAATAAATTCTGTAAACACCGCTTTTCAAGAAAAATGCTATAGTGGCGTTAATAAACTTATGGATTTTACAATCTCCATTTGCAAGAGCTACTGGAAAAAATAATTCTAGTCACTAATATGCCGGATTATTTTAAGTACAAAACCCCTATAACTATAAAAAACCCTATAACGATAAATGTCGGAGCTGCTGCTGCTGTCTTCACCACTGCAGTAAAGAAAAATATACTCATGTAGCAGGCTCTGTAAGTCTCAGAAGGAAAAAAATGTAATTAAACAAGCTGTGGCAACTTAGAAAGCATTAGTTTGTGATTTAAACATGGTCCATAAAGCAAGTTGGATGATCAAAGCAGTAAGTTTTCAAATGTGCAAACAAAACCAAGTATCACTATCCAACACAAATCAGGAATGTGGTTTTTACAATTCCAGCTTCATAGAAAAACATCTGAAAACAACATACAAGGTGAGGACTCTCTATTACACCATCTAAAAGAAAAAGGAAAACAGACTAAGAGAAGATAAAAAGCAATGCCTGCTGCTGACAGACAATGTCTAATTTGCAGTATGACGCAAACGTACTTCCTATAGGATCTATAAGGCAATACTGGATAGACCAAAAACATGGCACAGAACTCTACAAAATTGTTGACCTACAGATACTAATTTTAGATTTTGCAGAACATGGCTGCATCTGCAAAATGGTATGTTCCACTGTATTTTTTCCTTCTTCTCAACTGCTAATTCATAGCTAGAAGCATGAGACTGACCAACCAGACCTGCCTCAACTTAAAATAGATATCTATATGATAAAATTTGTCTTCTGTCTTGCCTTCTTCCTCTCCTACAACAGAATTATGATTTAAATGGAACTCCTAGTATTAAGAACAGGAATATGTTAGATAATTAACATGTATATAATCATCATACTGTTTACTACAAGCCAAAAAAAAGAACAAAAGGTATTCCTGTGCTGCTGTTTTTTTTTAAGTGCATGTGAATATAACAGTGAAGTTCCTACTACTTATTATCATCAAATATTCCTAAGACTCACTGTAGGTAGGTGGCAAGTTCATAAGGCGGCAATTACTCATCAAATATATGTAATCTCATTAAGTTCTGCCAATGTAAACATACAAAAAAGGACTGATAGCAGTAGACTATCCCTGTGCTAAAAAACATCAAAAAGAAAAAAAACCCTAACCCCTTTAAACTATGCAGTGTGGGTTAAAGATCAGTTGTCTGACTCTGAACCAAGAACACTGCCTCTGGAAGGTGGTGCCATCTTCCTCAAATTTTAAGTTCTCCCGTAAAGTGGATTTTTTTTAATCAGTTTCCACAAATGAGTTGGTTTATGGTGGTCTTATTTAAACACAGTTGTGAGTGGAAAAAGATAAGGAAAAGAGACAGGAACATGCAGAGAATGATATTTTTTAAAGTATGAAAATACCCCCAATGAGAATGCATTCCTTAAATAATACAACTGGCTCTTGAGATTTTGTTGGATACCATAAGGCAGTATATAGAAATTTATACACATTGGTATTTCCACCGAATTTTTAAATTAATATTATTTTTAAACCTTAGAAGTACAGTAGCTGTTATTTCATCTTCTATGGAATTCTTACTACTGTGTTAAAAATACAAGAGTTACTGGTTCCATGTACATGTATAATAAAATGATGCAGCTGTCCCCTCCTTGATAACATGCGATCACTGCACAACATTAAATGAGAATTTAATGCAAAGACACTCACTAGCTGGTACATGTAAAGTTTAATAGTTACTTATAAAGGTGATCTAATGATGCCATTATGAATGGGGCAGGTGAAGAGTTTTACAAATATACAGTGTGCTGCTTTATATTGGTCATTGGGAGGCATCAGTGTGCAACACTTAAGCTTTACCTCATCCAGTAGAACTCATTTTAGAACAGTGCATCCCCCCCAGATATGGAAGACATACAAACAAACAAAACCAGTTCACTCTATTTTTTTTTTTTTAATTTAAGAATTCCAAGCACTATATGGATCTAATTTTATACATTCTTGTTTGTATCAGTTTGGGTTTTGATGAGAAAGCTTGGCAAGTGAACATTTAGTGAACAGTCAAGTCAAATGGGACATACAACCCCAGAGAAGCAAGTATTTTTGGGAGTACTTAACATTATTCTGCCTGTAGGTAGAAGCTCATCCAAACTGACTACCTCAGAAAGCCAAAACTCCACTGTCAGTTTTGCTACTTCTTCTGAGATAACTCAGGATGAATTTGGTGATGGCTCTAAAACTACCATTTATTTTGCATAGGGCACTGAAAGCTTGTGAGGAAAAGAACCTGCATGAAAAATGGCAGACTTCCACAGTTCTGGAGACACTGCAGAAAGAAGGCCTCCTCACACCCTCAGCCTGTAGAGCAGTGAGATCCTTTTTCTGTTCCTCAAAGCAACTGAGGCAGTAACTCCACGGAACAAGCAGCAGCAGCTGATCAGCCCCTCTCTGCCACTCGCAATCTCTAAGTAGCTGAAGCAGAAACAGATCACATGCATATTATCACCCTTCTGTCAGAGAAACCTGGGAACTAAAAAATATGGTGGAACTTTATTGAAAGGGCAGAAAAAAATGGACCAAATTGTAATATCCCAAGACACCTACAGCTGTACATGACAGGTAAAGCATAAATCTGGGTAAACGCCTTCTTTCTTTTCCCTGTATCTCCAGGAGGAAGGAGAGGGGAAAATAAGTAGTATGAAAAGTATAGAGAAAGAACCACCTCCTCTCAGATTCTCATTAACCACAGGTGTTGTGCATATGTGGCTGGAAGAAGGCACAGACACTCTTACTCCTGTACTGTAATAAAAACAATGAGAGGAGGAAAGAAGAGAGAATGACATCATCGTTACAGCTACTGCTTAGAAGTCAGCATGGAAGACTCCTAAACTGTGTCACCTTTCTACCTTTCTTCCTTTTTTTTTTTTTTCTTTACTGCCTTGTCCACATGTCAAACAAGATTTAGAGCAAACTGCAACCCCTAGATGTGGGAACTCCCAACTGAAAGTTTGGAACTTGCATAGCAGGTTGAGTTTTTACAGTTGCTTTCAATCAAAATGCTGCTTTCCCATTCATCTGAAATAGATCAGGCTTGACACAAATCTCATTTTTAAAAAAAGTATCACTAAAACAGTGCTTTGTTATAGTAAAGCAGCATTTGTTTACATTACAACAGCAGCTGAGATCACAGACTCATTAGTTCACTGCTGCGTGGGACTTTGAATAAGACAGCTCCTTCTTCAAAGAATCTACTTAACACAGAAAAAGACTGTCAAGAAAGAAGTCATTACTATTTTTTTAATAAAAAACTGTGAAGCAAATTAAGCAACATGCTTCAAACACATACTCGTTTAGAGTTCAGAGCTCTGAATTCCCAAATATTACACTTCCATGTGCATCCCAGGGTGTCTTAATGACTAGGAAAATCTTTCCCTTCCCTCATGGATCCAGGTGAAATGACCTGAATTTCAGTGCCCTCTAATTTCACTGGAGATTGTCCACTATAAGAAATGAAATGTAGAGTCGTAAGAAGCTTGCACCTAAGGATGCAAGATAGCACCTACTGGTATTAACTTTCTTGGCTGTCTCAGTGTTTATTGCTTAGACACTTAAGGTCAAGCTACCAGACCAGCAGAGACCAATAGGTCTTCCTACCCAGTTCCTACCTCTGTATGGTCTGTTTCCAGATATGTCATGAGGATTTAGAAACAAAGACGTTAAAAAGACCCATAGTCTTGCCTAGATTCTCCTTTGGTACATTGAAGTTTCTGAAGCCAATTTTAAATACCAGAGTAAAATGGCACTGTGGGTCAAGAAGTGCTCTGTGACTTGCAGTTGTGTGAGTTTACAGGTGAAGTAAGGTACAACCGTTCCTGTGTACCCTTCCAGACCTAATTTCTGCTGTATCATTGCCCTTACAGTGGTGGGTAAGAACAGTTAAGGATACAAAAAAAAAAAAAAAAAAAAAAAATCCCCATTCCTGAGTTTCTACCTCACAAATAATTTTTCAACCTTATTCTTTTCATGTGAAAATCAGATCAATACTATCCAATATTTGGAGAGATAATTATCTTGCATCCCCAATATACAGTATAAAATAAGGGAGGTCCATCTGCTTAACATTAAAGGTTTTCCTTCTTTCTTGACCACCCACTTGCAGATGAATTTGCCAGAATAATTTCTCTTCTTATCATGGTGGCAATTACTACAATGTACTCCCAACTAAAATCTGCAAGCTATGCTTCACATGCATATTCCCAGACTGATGTGTACAAAGGCCATCAAAGATGAGATGAAAATATTTATGAGGCCTAAACCTTCAAGTTTTAGAGAAGAGCAAATTACACATATGATACACCAAGCTCTTCCTCTTGGGTCTAGACACTCTTGTGCCAAGTGAGCAGCTGGCAGTTATTACAATGCTATTGCTGCCAGGCTAAAAATTCCTCCAGTGAAAAGAAAGTAAAACGCTCTCACCCAAGCATAAAGCGAGCTTTTCTACCAGTCACCCTTTGACTTCAGAAAAACATGAATGTGAATGCAGGTATATTCATGTACAGGTTCCTGTCGTGGTTTAACCCAAAAACAGGACAGTTCCATTGCACATTCCCACAAATCCAGTGTATCCTGTGGCTTCAGACAGACGTTACACTACAGCCATGGCATGGCTACTATTTTTGCAACTTGGTAATCAGACAGTCAAAAGCTTGAATGACGCAATTTTGCACCCTACTGCAATTGTGAATTTGGTCCATTACTTAAAAACAGTTTCAGCATTGCCACTTCACATGATAAAGCATGAAATTCAATCATGCATGGTGGTTTGATTCTTGAAGGACCCAAAGCTGTTAAAATTTCATTCTGTATACAAAATAAATAAAACAAAACCAGGTTATATTACTCTGCACTGTATACCAATAGGAATATTTTTTATTTCTTCAATGTGGGCT